CCCCCCCCCCCCCCCTGCTCCCCCCGTGGCGAAGGGAGGGGGGGGGGTTCTGGGGGAGTGGAAGTCCACCCATCTTAACGTTCCGAGGTTGAGAAACACTGCTCTAGAAGGAACCGAATAGTCACTTAGCCCCACCCTCTGCTCAGTGCAGAAATCCACTAAACCAGGGTTTTCCAAACTGCCTTCTACGCAATCCAGAGTTCCATGAGAGACTGCAGGAGAAAACCCACAAATGGTCCATCGCTAGGGCTTTGCCTCTTGATCAGGGGTCCTGGAATCTTTTTCTTAACAGGTTCCCTGACCTAAAAGAGTTTGAAAGCCCCTGCCCTGCGGGTTTCTCCTCGGCCCAGTGCTATGCAACGTCTTGTTTAGGCTTCAGAGGACCCCACTGGGTGCTCCCCTCCAGAATGAGGCAGAGCCGTCCCCCAGCCCTCCTTGCAAAGCCAGTGGAGTAGCCCACGTCTGACCATCTTGCCTCCAGGACGACCGGCCAGATCTTCCTTCTGAAGGCAAGACTAAAAAACTATCTTACTTGACAGTGGATTCTCCAGATTAATTCTGCACTTCCTGAACATCTACTTCACTGGGATGATGTTGCTGTCTAGTATGTTACTGTCTAGTAAAATACTATCTACTAGTATACCAACAATACTAGACACCTTTCTAGTATTGTTAGAAAACCAGAAAAAAAAATCTTGCTGTCTGCTAGAGAGCTCTACCCTGTTTATTTGAAATAAAAACGCTTTGGCTTTTTCTGATGGTGCATTTGGTTCCAACCTTAACATTAAACCTTAGCCCCTGCTCCCAGCTGGGGAATGCTCTCTGCAGATGCACACGATCGAGACTTGGCTCGCAAATGCCTCTGATCTGGGAAATGCCTCACCTTGCAGACGCGAGCCACCCTGGACACAGTCAGCTTCTCAAAGAAATCAAACTCCTTGGCTGTCTCTTCAAAGAAGAAATAGACCTTTTCATCATCAGGGGGTCCCGGGATGTTGAAAGAGGCCACAAACACAGCATCATCTGTGCAAAAAGCAGGGAGTCAGGTTCTTGTGACACACACGCACACACACACCGGCTCGGACCCCCACAGGAGCATCCGTTGCTTAGGAGATGCATTTTTCCTGATACCCACCGTGTCTTGGTTGCCAAGGCAACAGCCAGTCCCCGGTGGATGGGGAAATTGTGGGAAGGGCTAAGACCCCTCCCCCTGCCCTGCTGCTCCTCTCACCGTGCAGCCAGGAAAGGAAGCTGTCGGTCTTCAGAACGGTCCGGCTGCCCAGGGTCCGAGAGATGACCGGCTCGTTTCCCTGGAAGTTATTCATGGTGCCCGTGTAAAGTTCGCCATCTGGGTGGGGTGGAAGCAGAACATGAGATGGTGCCACCTGCGCCCTGGAACCCTTTGCCCCCTTTTGGTCATCACAAAACTTCCCTGAATGCAGCTAACTGGAACGCAAGCAAGGCAGCTTTCAAAAACAAAACCATGTCTCATAAAGGATATCCAAACTTGCAAATGAAACGCATTATTACGTTCCTCTGAGAAACAGTAAGTAGAAGCGTATTCAGTTGGTCATAAATAATTATAAACAAGAGGAAAAAACAAAACAGCAGCTGATAAAACAAGCCACTAAAACATGTTGGAGTTAGGGCCTCCAAACCAAGGAAGCTGGTTCCATCTTAGACTCTGATCGTAATGGCAGGATCCCCTTCTCTCCTCCCACCCCCCGTTTATGCCTTGGCAGCTGATCTCAAAAGCGCGCGAACAACTCTGCCTGCTGCGGCTTGGAATAAGGGCCCGCTTGGCCCAGAAACTGAGACTTCGTGGTTCCCCCAAGGCAACCTCGCAAGGCTCGACCGCTGAACGGGCCAGACACGGATGCCTCTTCTCTACGACACACGCCTGGGCTGATGCTACAGCACCCCGTGGCGGAAAGTCTTGCCAAGTCAACTTACGGAACGACAGCCTCCCCACCCTGGTGCCCCCCAGATGGGGTGGACTACAACTCCCAGAATCCCTGGGACTGCCGCCTTGGGATTTGGGGAGCTGAAGACCAACTCCTCTGGGGGGCAGCTGGTTGGGGAAAGCTGTTTGGAATGATTAATACCCACTCCCAGGGCACCCATCATAAAAACTGGGCCATTGCCTACATATTCCCATGCTTCCTTCATCTTCTTCCATCGCTCTTCCTAGGCGGACATGTGAGAGGTGGAACTCCCCCCGTCCCCCCCCCCCAATTCCCTGGTCTGGCTCACCCACAATGAGAGCTGTGTTCTGGTGCCGAGGGTCGAAGGGGCAGAGCCCCTTGCCTTCCTGGAGGAGCGGCTGACCTTTTGCATCCGTTACCAGCGTGAAATTTTCTGCATCCTGGCAAGGCAAAGAAAGGAAAGGAAGTGAAGAAAAATCTCCCAAGAGCAGAATGCAGGCAGGGGAGACCCCGCCTGCCTTCCACATGTCCCCCTACTCATACACACTTCTCAACCGACCTGCAAGACAGACCAGCCTACAACACAGGAGTGGGGCGAGGGAGGGGAAGTGCTCAAGACCACAACTGGGCAATCTTTAAACTTGGATCTCCTAATCCAGTACTGCTCAACCATGTGGACTTGGCTTTTTTAAAAGGACAAACTGCTCTGAGAGCAACCCGACTGCTCAAATGATGGATCAGGAGACCAAGGCTGAGAGAGACGGACTCGCCTTTCACTTCCTGCTGGGCAGTGAAGGTCGCTGGGGAGGGTTGCTTGGTTGAGCTCAGCTTCTCAGCTGTGGGTGCAAAACCTGGGGTTCCAGTGCTGCACATCCCCCCCCACCCAAATTCTTAAACGCGCCTGCACGGATCTCCAAAGGTTGCAACCACCTTGCAATCTTGAATGGGACAGAAGGGAAACCGTGAAATCCACGGGGAACAATAGTATCAGTCGTACTGAGCAATTCTGAACTGGGCTCCCCCACATCTTGACCCTGGCACCACCCTGGCACAAAGCCCTTGGCACGCCAGTCGAAGCCCAAGGGCAGTCCTCGGCCACAGAAGGGCACACTCCTGCCCTGAACTAACCCTGCTCTCAAACCTTGCTCCTCCGCCCGGGAATCAAACCCATTTGTGCTCCTGGGTCAGTTATACTGGAGCGATGCAGACCCAAACATTTCCATGAAACAATCGTCTTAATGGCATTTCTTGCATTTCAAGGCTGACCCAGGAGACCCCAGGGGGGAAAACCTTGCATGGGGTAAACGCGGATGCCTTCCCCACAAAGAGAAGTGAACCCGTCTTCCTTCTGCTCTGGATTTTGAAGGACTTAGATGGAAAATAAATAAATAAAGAGCTTTGTGATTAATTAGGGACCTCCTTTGTAAGTGATTGTAATTGATTGCTTCAGGGAGATGCACGGAGGGGTAATGGAACTCACAACGTAAGCACACGTGGGGCTGAAGGCGTAGGTCCCACACGTATAAAGATGGCTCTCGTTCAGCTGAACTAGGATGCGGATGAAGTTGAAGCATTCCGTCTGCAGAAAAAGAATGGGGGGGGGGGGCAATTCAATTCCCATTTAAATTTTGCTCAGCACACCCACCCACTAGAACTGATGGGTAAGAAGCAGAGATAGTGGGAAATGTGCTTAAAAAAATCAGCCCTCCCATTTCTCTGTAACCTTTCAGTATGATTATTTCCAGATTCTATCTTCCATTTGTTTATTTAACACTTTCCTCAGGAGTGTGCAGCCTTGGCATATCTAAAGCCTGATTTCTAAGCATCTCTGTGCCACCTCAATCTTATATAGCAATACCGAGAAGAGAAGAAGAAGGGTTGTATCAAATATCTCAAACAAAGGTGATTTTTCAGAATCCTGCCAATCTAAATTTAGTGCTCTTGAGGCAAAGGGGCAGGCTATATATTGGATTAATAAGAGTATTAATCGTAACCTTCATCTACACCAGTGTTTTTCAAACTTGGCCACTTGAAGATGTGTGGACTTCAACTCCCAGAATTCCCCAGCCAGC